CTAAATTGCTGAGGCTGGCCTTAAATTTGCAATCCTCCTGCCTCAATCTCCTAAATTGCTGGGATTATAGGTGTGTGCCACCACACCAGGGTTCTGCTCCCATATGCTTTTGGATTTGTCCATACTATAGCTAGCTTTGTTTACAGAAGCTTGATAAGTACATGCTATGTAAATAGCTATTATATTAGCTATGAAGTACATAATTTTTAGTCAGTCAGGTACAGATTTACAGTGTGTTACCTGTTGGACAGCTGCACCTGAGAGCTATGACTCATTTCTTGGTCACTCCACATGGGCACTAAAAATTAAATGAAGAATTAGTTATATTTTGCCAGTGCTTGTCTAAGGAGTAAAGTGTACAAATAATCTTTTTTAGGGAAGAGTACCTGTATTAGTCTTTTTAATAAAAGTTTTTTCCTTCTCTAGCAATAGCTATTTTTCTATTGATTGCACTGCATTTGCTGTACTAATTACAAAGGATGAGAAAAGATTTTGAACTACAATCCCCAAGAAATATGATCTTTAAAGTTTATTTGTAGCCTCCTTACCTCTTCTTTCTTATCAATATCAGCACTAGAATTGGTGTTTTACTGTAGGAGTAGAAAGCACTGTTTCCTCAGAAGGCTGCATATAATAGGCTTCTAAATGTTGCAAGCACTTGCCATTTGTTCCTCTGGGAACTGCACTGAGACTAATTCCTTCCACCTTTGGAAACCTTCTATTTTGGGATTGAATTTCTACAGCTGTTAGAGAGTCAGGGTGTATTTTTCCAGAAGTATCTTGTGGATTGCTCACATTAAGGCCAGTAAGTATTCTGATCTACAGAATAAATGTCTTTGAAGCAAGAGAGAAGACAGGATTAAAAGTAACCCAAGGGTTAGGGGTGTACCTCAGTGGTGTGAGGTCTTGGGTTCTATTCCTAATACCATAAAAAGCAAAAGACAAAACCCAAAATAGTGGTCTCATGTTACCACTAGATGGCAAGCAAGGAAGTAGACTAGGGAAAAGTACTTAGGTAGATAGCTTCAGTGATACTGGTAATGTCTTAACTGAGTACAGATTGATCAGCAAACAAGAGATCAACATAGACCAGAATGTCAATGTTAATGAGTAAAATTCAGGGTTTCGGGTTTGTTTGAATCCCCATACATTCATTACTCAATACATCTACTCCAAGTTCTTGTTTGCTACCCTTTTTGAGGAATCTATCGTTTAGTATTTTGTATCAGGAAGCAACTGTGGAGCCTGAAAATTAATCCATCCCTCCCTTCCTTTTTCTCCTTTTTTTCCCTTTCCTTCCCATTTATTTATTTATTTATTTATTGTGTGTGGTATTAGGAATGGAACCTGGAGCCCCATGCATGCATTCTACCACTGAGCTACATCCCCAGCTCTAAAAACCATTTCTGTTCAATCACACTGTCAGAATTTTTTTTTAAGGTTTATTCTATAGCCTGATTCATTATAGCACTGAATTTTATAGGTAGCTAGTACAGATTTATACAGATTTAAGATACTGCTGTATTTTATTTTTAAATTTTTCTTTAAAATTACATAAATCCTTTATATCTATAATGATTAAATTGGAAAATAAAGAAAAGTATAAATGTTTAAAAGTTACCTCTAACCTAGCTGTCACCATTGTCAGTAATTTTATTTGTTTTAATGGCATCAAAGCAGATACAGAGTTTATATTCCAAGAAAATAATTTAGAGAAGACAATTTGCTTTATGGCACCATGGTTTAATATCTAACTTTTAACATACATGGTTTTTCTCTAGTTCTTCAGTTAAATGATTGCCTCCCCACAGGAAGAAAGGTTATTTTCTATGCTTTGCTCTACCTACAACACCTCTGCTAAATAGAGTACCATTTCAACATTTCATTCTCATGGTTTCCCTTTGCCAGAGATTCACCTTCCAATTTGTTGATCAGGTATTCAGAGATCTCCAAAATGTGATTTCAACCAGCTTGACCTGGTTAAAACTCTTTGCAACAAATAGTCCAGATTTTTTTTTTTTTTTAATCCCATGAACATGCCATACTTTATGTGCCTTTGCCTATAGGGAGAAGATTTAAATTTAGGAAACATAAGATTGGAGGTTGGGAATGAGTGATGAAGAAGGGTTTTATAAAATGTTTTAAATATATTTAAATGTCTTTTTCTGGAAAATTAAACTTTTAAATTTGTCCTGGGACTCTGAAATGCAATAAAAGAAATTATAAAACCTTACTAACAGATCTTGCCTAATCTTACACTTAAGGAAAAGTAATTAGAAGGACAATGACACACATGAAGAGTCTATTTATAATACTGGGCCCAAAATACAGAAAGCACTCAAATGTGAAACAAAAGCCAAAAAAGCTCCACAATTCTAAAGTCCCCAGATATAGCCAACTGTCATGACCACTGGTGATTTATCAATGTAGCTAATAAAAATGTATTTCTTACCTTTGTCTTCTCCCTGCTCACCAATAACCCAAACTTCTTTGCCTGAAGTCGGTGCTTTCAAGATATTTGTAATAATATAGTGTAATCTCTGTGAATCAAGATTACATCCAATTCCAATCACTCGATATGCAGGAAATGTACTCAGTTTCCATGTCACATAGGTCATGATTTCCACTAAATGTCACATACAAGGTGAAAAATATAAAGATTTAAAACTATGCATTTTGAGTCTAGTTCACAAATATAAAATATTTATTATTATAATAACCAAGGTATATTAGAGCTTCTATATATTCTTCTTAGATCCTAAATGCATTGAGGCATAAATATATATTTTCTAAATACATTAACCAGGTTTCAAAAAGACTTTACACAACTTTGTTCTTATATATTAAATTGTTAGGATGGAACATTTAATTTCCTAGAATATTTAGGCAAAAAAAAAAAAGAAAAGAAAACTGAATATAGAAAGTAATCATTTCATTTAACTAATAAAATTTTTCTGTATCTATTTTAAGCTGAGTTTCTATTTTTAAATGAAAATATCAATTAAAAAACTACTACTGGGCTGGGGATGTGGCTCAAGCGGTAGCGCGCTCGCCTGGCATGCGT